TTAACACTGTGGTCCCCTCTGGCAGGTAAATCCTCCAGGGAGAGCAAGCTGGTGCCTCATTTATGTTCTAAATACAGAACAGCTGCCTATTTATGCAATGTTAAGCGCAAAAATATGGTAACAGGGTGATGAGCACTCCTACAATATCCGGTACTGGCAACAAATGGTGTTTTGGCAGGTCCTCAATCTGTTCCAAAATGGCACATCTGGACAGTTGAAGGGCCTTCTCCGGAATTGGTCTCCTAACGAATGACATGCCAAAAAGCTGTGGCACAAATGGTACTTAATACCACTGCAAATCATTCAGGAACACACTGTTGCTCTGATATGCTACAATCCAAGTTTAAAAGAAAGGAAATAAAAAAAAAAAGAAGAAGAAGAAAAAAGACCCTTTGACATGGGGGACAAAAAGGAGAAAAATATCATAACAAACCACAAAGACTGCTACTCTTAAACAATGTAACATGTGTTTATGGCATTCACACACACACACACAACGAAGAAGAAGAAGAAAGAAAGAAAATGACTCCAATTTGCAAATGAGGCCAAGAAATCTAACATCAACTATAATTTTAGGTTTTCAACTATTCACCAAGAGAGTAGGGTGAGATAATGGTATAATTGGTACTCTACCCTCTTCAACTTGTAATATGTTCTTTGGGGTTTGTATAGTACTCAGCTAATCTATTTGTGCTTACACACCACTTACTTTACCCTAAATCTTCATAGTAATGAAATGTACTTCTTCTCTCTCTTTCAAATAAAACCATCAAAAGAAAATCATCCTTTTCAGCAGGTTCTAGCATTGCAAATAGAACTTATTTTTAGGGAAAAAGTAAAGTCATTTTTACTCTTAATTGTAAGGAGACTAGGTGTGATTCTGACATTTGGGTATGTGTTTCTGAAGTCTGGATATCCATTCAGAAAAGTAAGCAAAGTAAAATGAAATAATATTTATCAGTTCCTATTTTTGTGTTAAATATTTATGTCTTGGATATTGCCCTGTGTTTCATTGAAGGTGATAGAGAATAGAAAGTGTTGGGGCCAGCAAGTAACATGGTAGTTAAGGCACTGAACTCCCACATGGCCAACAATGGTTCAAGTCCTAGTGACTTCTTTTGTCCCCTTCTCCTCCCCCAGCCTCTCTCTGCTGAGTGTATGTGCCATATAGAAAATTCAGAAAAAAAAATAATAAATAAATTTAAATAAATAAGTCTTTTTAAAATGAAATAAACTAAAATAGGCTTGTAAAATAGAAAACCAGAGCAAGTTTGAATGTGAAACTCTCTCTCCATTTATACTATAAATGTTATAAAAAAATATATAATATTTTCTTATTTTTATATATGTATTTATGTATGTATGCATGTATACATTATAGATACACATAAAACACACACATATGTATATATGTACCCTCCCTTAAGCCCCTTATCCGAGTAAAAACTGAGAACTATATTTCAAGTGTGGTTTGACAAGCATGCCAAAGCAAGGATACAAAGCCATATGTGTGTTTTTTAATTCTCCAAAAGATATTTAAATATGATGGAGAAAAATGAATTTAAAGAACTGAAAAAAAAAATCTGGCTAAGTGACAAAAGTTATAAGGGTAGCATAGGTTATGTTTTAAAGAAAAGGGGCATATCCTTTTCAAGAATGGCTTACTAATTAATATCCTACCAACAGTGCACAGGTGTTCCATTTTCTCCACATCTCCAAACTTTTCCAACACTTATCTTGTTCTTTTTTTTTTTTTTTTTTTTGAGAGAAATTTTTGCTATAGGGTACATGCGTTTGCCAGAAAAACAGAGAGAGACAAAGAGATACCCCAGGGGTGATAGCCAAGCCACAATCCCTTCTTCTCCATTCTCCTCTCAGGATTTTCGACATACACACACATACCCAGCATGAGTGTTAAGTCACCTGGTTTGGGACTCGAACTACAGTTGATTATGTGGGAGTCCGGTGATGTAACAATTACATCATCTGCTGTTCCCTCTTGTACCTTTTTCATAATAGCCTTTCTAACATGAATATGCTGTACTCCATAAATATATATATATATATATATATATATGCTTACATTATATAATTATTATTTGCTATATTCCATAAATATATATATATATATAAAACTATATAGTAATTATATATAAAACTTTTTTTCATTTAAAATAAACATCTAAATTACATTAACAAAAATTACATGATAGGTGCACTTCTATAGTATTTTCTTATAGAACTAAGTTAGAATATAAGATTTGAGGAATCAGTAGTTGGCGTAATGGCTATGTTGCTGGACTTCCATGTATTTGACCACAGTTCAAGTCCCGGACCTGGGGGACTCACATTGGGCACATGTGCATGTGTGCCCAAGATCCTGAGAGGAGAATAGAACAGAAGGGATTGTGGCGTGGCCATCCCCCTGGAAGGTGATTCTTGCTTTCTGTCTCTATGTTTCTCTCTGTCTTTCTGGTGAGTGCACGCACAGTATAGCAAAAACCTCTCCAAAAATAAAAAAGAATATAAGATTTGAAAGCTCTCTCTAGAGAAAAAGGATACCTAAATGTCTAGAACCCAAATACTCATTTTTTAGATATTAGCTTGGATCTACTAGTGAGAGTTCACCCAGCCATTCATAATATAATCTTGATTATACTTGCATGCTTTTTGTCATTGACATGGGCTGTGATTTGGAAAGTTATTCTGAAAGATCAGAACATTCTAAATTACTAGTGTTTAATAAACTATAGTT